TGGGACAAAGGAACTGGAAAAGGTGCCTTTTGCCCAGGAGTGAGGAGAGGGGAAGGAGGGCGCTGCCCTGGCTCCTGGCAGGGGGGCGGGCGGGGTGGGCCGGTATGGCGGCGGCGGAGCCGCGTGGGGAACTCGGGGAGCGCCCCGCTGCCGGGGTGCCCACCGGGCCGAGTTCACCCAGAGAGCACTGAGATCTGAGAGAAACGGCCGCACAGACACCAGGTCAGTGAGGATGGAGCGGGAGGAGGTGCCGGAGCCCAGTTTCCCCTGCAACTGGTGGCGAGACGGCAGGCGGCCCCCTGCAGCCAGGGATGGACTCAGTGGAGCAGGGACCTGCTCGCAGCCCGTGGAGAAGCCACGTCGAGAAGAGATGCCTGAGCCTGAGAGAGATCGTGGAGCATGGGGTGCACGACAAGGTAGAGGGGCATCTAGAGTCCATGGGACGACCCACCCAGGAGCGAGTGGCCACAACTCCCTAAGAATCCGAGACTGTGGTAAAGCCCTCACTGGAGCAATCCGATGGAGAAGGATTGCATCCTGTGGGTAGGACTCACGCTGAAGAAGTTTGTGGATTTTCCTCGTGAGTAGGAGATCCACTGGAGCAAGGGACAATGGTGTAAGGACTCCTCCTCCTTTAAGAAAGGAGCAGCAGGAACAACATGGATGAACTGACCTGCACTCCCCCATTCCCTGTACCCCTGTGCTGCTGGGGGAGGAGGTAGAGCTGGGAACAAAAGAAAAGAGGGCTGGAGAGGTGTTGTTTTTAAGATCTGGCCTTGTTTTCTTTTTATCCTCTTGATTAACTGGTTTTCTTTGTCTTTTTAAGTAACTGTTAATAAAATGAATTGTTTTATTCCCAAGCTGAGTCTGTTTTGCCCGGGACCATGGTTGGTGGGTGCTCCCTCTGTTCTTGTCTCGACCCTCAGTCCCTTTATTACATTTTTTTCTCCTCTCCACTTTACTGGAGAAGGAGTGAGAGAGCGGCTGTGTGGGTTTTAGTTGCCAGATTGGCCTGCCCCACGACAAGGACCCAGCAAATGGGCCTCTGTAAACATGTGATTGTCTTGTTTTTGTTTTGTCAAGGACGTTTTATGTATGCGTATCTCACACTTGGTAAAATTAGGTAGAGCCCAGAAATCAATAGATAACAGTTAAAAAAGCCCTGCCCCAAAAAAGCTTCCAGAGGATGGAGACCAAAACAACCCTCATCTGAGCGTTGGGACATCTCTGGGCAGGCTGGTGGAAGCAGGGAAGGCAGATGCATAATAACTGGAAGAGACTTGTCTAAAATGGGAGAGACTGCTCAGAATGAAGTAGGCTGAGACAGCAGGGGAGGCTTTCTTAAGCAACAAAGTGCTTGAACTTCATCTTGTGGAAACATAATAGGCTGGGGAAGACTTCAGGAGGTCTCTAGTCCAAGCACTTGCCCAAAGCAGGTTCAGCATCAGGTTGGGACATTTCCTCGCCACTGTGGTGATCAGGCACGTGTGGTCCTAACCATGAACCCTGATACAGGAAGGGAGTGTGGTCAGCAGGGGAATTCAAAAGACAAATTCAGAAAACCCAGAGCTGATTGCTACCAGGGCATGCCAGGAGATGCCACAAAGTTAAGATGTTCCTCTGCGTGTTGAGCCTCTCTACTGAGGGCCTGGATTGGGTGGCAGTGGCATATTGGCAGTGTCCCCAGCACAGCTGGCATGCTGGGATGTCCACATTGGACAGCCAGTCTCTGTGTCATTACGTGTTTCACAACAACTTAGTGCAGACTAAGCATGTAAAGAAGATTACAGACTGTGACTCGTTAGTCTTTTATCTTATTACAAGGGTTACATGTCAACCAACTCGCTGTCCATGCCTGGACATCAGCTCTAGGGATCTTTTTGTACAATGATGATCCTATCTCAGGTGTATGTGGTAACTCATCATCCTTAAACATAGGGGAGTTTTCTTCCTGATAAGTTCTAGGTTTCCTTTAGAGAGAGGTGAAGGTACCGCAAGATGACTTGATTTTAGAGTTTCCTACTAGAGGCTCATAAGATAGATTGATCTAAAGAAGATTAGATCTAAGGAAGAAAGTTTTTACAATGGGAGTGGTGAGGCACTGGCACAGGCTGCCCAGAGAAGTTGTAGATGCCCCATCCCTGGAAGTGTTCAAGGCCAGGTTGGATGAGGCTTTGAGCAACCTGGTGTAGTGGAGGGTGTCCCTGCCCGTGGCAGGGGGGTTGGAACTGGATGATCTTTGAGGTCCCTTCCAACCCAAACCGTTCTACGATTCTGTGATAAGTATCTCAGAAAAGTGGCTTGTGCTCATTAGCTGGACTTGGTGACTTCTGACAAACCCATTCCTTTTCAGTCCGCCATCTCTCCTGGTTGTTAGACATGGGGTCAGCACCCCAAAAGTGGAGTCATGTGTGTTAGCCCTTGCTCTGCTTTGTGCTTCATCATGGGTTTCAAGGAGGAGCATCCAGAAGGCAGAGCCCTGGGCTCGATTTCCGCCAGGGCCACCTTCAAAATAAAGTAAAACAGGCAAAACCCTTTGGTTTTGTGTTGCGTGGCCCAAGGGGATGGAGGATACCCTCTGACTGCCTGCTCCACCCCAAGCAATGCCACCTGCACTGGCTGTCCCCTGCCACACGCAGTCACCTTCCTACACCGTCGTGCCCTCCAGGACTCGTTGCAGCCACCTCTTCTGCCAGCTCTTTCTTTAGCACTCTCTGTTTAATAATTGGTGCTTTCCATTTGGCAATTGGCACTAATTAGCTAAAGGGGGAGAATCATGCCCTCCTCCGGGCTCCATGCTCTCTGGGACTCCTCTTTTTTTTTTTTTTTTTTTTTTTGTCAATTTTTCTTTTCTTTCTCCTTTTTAATACGCCGCATGATTTTTGTTCAAGGAGCTAATGTGTGATATTGATCTACATAATGAGCCTTTTTGACAGTCCGGGCACATTTGGGAATAATTCCTTGAGCAGATGAAATCCTTAAGCCAGAACTGCTCGTTCTCGGCAGTTTCCAAGTGAAGCCACAATTGTTCAGAAGTGACAGATGAGAAACAGTTCAGGAGCTGGAAATTACATGAGCTGAGAGCAGATATTTCATTTTTTTTTTACCCTTCCCTTCCGGATGGCGTGTGACTCACTCTGAATTTGCTTGGTAATTTTATACTTGTCTCAAAACAGCCCATAAATACCAATTCCTGGTGAAGGAGGGGATGAGGGATGGAGTCCTCATGTTCTGCAGCGTGGTGGGAGCTCCCTTGTCTTTTTCCCCCATAACCACAGGGAAGGAGGAGTACGAGTCTTACCACAAAACACCTCTCCAAAGCTTAATTCATGTGCAAACATGCCCAGCCCAGGTACAGGAGCTGATGGTTTCTTTTTTTTTAAGGTGTGATTGGCATTCAGCCATGGAGAAATAGGAAGGAGGAGAGCCTCATAAAGCCTCTATGTGTTCTGTAGAGCCGTTCTCCTGCAGAAAGAGATTTTAAAAATAGATTCTGGGGTGATCTCTGTTTCACCTCCACGTGCAAACCTCCTTGCTGGACCGTTTACAGTCGCGCCGTTGACTCAGCATCATTTACTACTGCCGTCCTAGAGAAGCTTTTCAATTATCATCCTCTTCATCATGCTCTTGTCCATCATCCCCAGCTTATCACCCTTATCCACCGCAGCTAATGCCTCGGGCTTTTTAAATTAAGTTTCTAAATTTTGTTTTTCTCTCGTGGATGTGTCTGGAGGTTTCCAGTAGTTTGGGTTTTAAGAAGGAGGGTAGGCAAAATGTCTGTTGTTGTCCTTAGATGTAGGAATATTACAGAAATGGCACTTTTTTTTTGTTTGTGCTCACATAGAAACTCTTAAGTGTGGCCACCTGGGGTTGTTATAAATGTTATTGGATGTACAGCAGAAGTATCCTGCCTGTGGTAACAGATAGGCTTTGGCTACTGTTTTCTTTACCTTTTTATAATTACTGGGAAATCATTTCTTGTCTTTTTTCATTTCACTTTCTCAGGCCCCCTCCGTTCTCAGCATCTCTCCTGAAGGGATGGAGAACTCGTCGGTGGCATCAGCCTCCTCGGAGGCGGGGAGCAGCCGCTCTCAGGAGATTGAGGAGCTGGAGCGTTTCATCGACAGTTACGTCCTGGAGTACCAGGTCCAGGGGCTGCTGACCGATAAAACGGAGGGGGACGGCGAGAGCGAGAAGACGCAGTCCCATGTCTCGCAGGTGGGCGAAGGACACGGTGTGGGGTGGCAGAGGGGCTGGGGGACGCCACTGGCTTGTCATCTGGGATGCACGCCCAGCTGAAGCAGCTTTTCTAGGGTTGGGATGTGTAGCAGGACGTGATAAAACACTGGATTTGGGGCAGCTTGGTTGTTTGGCTGTATATATGAGGTCTCCAACCAGTTGGTAGAGGTCTTCTGCCAGTTGGTAGACCTCTCCTGCCAACTGGGTTTTGTTGTTCCATGGCCTTGAGGTGTATGGCCTGAAGCCTTTTGACTTCTCCAGGTTTCCTGTTTAAAAAGGAATGACATGTCCTTTGTAAATGAAGGATGCCTCTCTCCATCCCAAACTCCTTTGCCGAATCCTGGAAGGATTGGGAAGAGCTGCAGGGGCTGCAGCAGGGGGTTGCTCAAAAGGGAGATGTGCTCCCATACATATGCACAGGGATGTCCCTGAAACAACCAAGATCAGAAGGTCAATCAAAAGCCCCAAATGATCTCCAAAAGTGTGGTCTTTGTGGGCATTTTAACGTGTGTAATAAATAACCTGTTTGCTTGCTTCATGGTTGTTATATCAGAGAAGGAAATTGCTGTAGTTCAAAGGATGTGAATACCCAGCAGAGGGATGGTTTTAGGGAGGATGTGGTTTGGTGTTGTCGCTAGGAATGACGTGGTCCTAGTCAGGTTTGTTCCTAAAACGGACATTTTAGGTCCAACACAAGGAGAAATGAAACCTCCTGAACTGTAGTTGATGATGGAAGGGAAATGACTGTGTTCTGGTGCCATGGTATGCTAGATGCGTGCTGAAGATGTGAACTGTCAAAGGGATAAGGAGCCCGTGGTGCAGGGAGTGTTGAGCTCTGGTCGTGCCCCTGGGCTTGTTAGGCTGCCATGATCTTGTGTGTGTTGTAGAGGTGCTTTCCTACCCCACAGGGCTCCAAATAGGATGAAATATTTAGGTTAGAGACCACTTACATCCTGGTTTTGAGGCTGAAGGGTCATAAGGGTAAGGATATGGCTATCGTTAGATGGCTGAGATGTGTCTGAGGTGCTGGAAGGGTCTGCTGGTCTGATTTGGGTCTTGGTTTATTTGTGAGGTGCAAGGAAGACTGATCCCGAGCAGAGATTCCTGGACCACTTCACATTAAGCCTTAACGTTAGCTTAACAACTAACGAGGCTGCGTGGCAAAGCCAAGCTGGGGGTATGATGATGGTGAGAAGGGCAGAGTCCAGGCTGGGTTTGTCCAGGACCATGACTTCCTCCAGCATATGGAGAAGTTTTGTTGTGGGTCATTTTGTCTCTCATTTCACACTTGTCTATTAATTGCTTACTTATGAGGTTCTGCCCCCCTAGGGCTTTGTTTTGCCTTTAAATTGGGAGGAGGGGTTGGGATAGTGAGGGCAAGGCACTCCCCTGGCAGTTGCCAGAGGTGCCTGCTTCTCCCATCCCCTGCCCCTTGCACCCCAGCGTGCAAAAGCCAATGTCTTCAAGTCCAGCAGAGAGGAGCTTGCTCTCCCATGTGGACCTCATGAAGTCAACAAGGCCAAGTGCAAGATCCTTCATCCGGGTTGGGGCAGTCCCTAATATCACTAGAGACTGGGGAAGGAATGGGTTGAGAGCAGCCCTGCAAAAAAGACTTGGGGACACTGGTGGGTGACAAGTGGGACATGAGCCGGCACCGTGCGCTGGCAGCCCAGAAAGCCAACCGTGTCCTGGGCTGCATCCAAAGCAGCGTGGGCAGCAGGGCGAGGGAGGGGATTCTGCCCCTCTGCTCTGCTCTCCTGAGACCCCACCTGGAATACTGTGTTCAGCTCTGGAGTCCCCAACACAAGAAGGACATGGAGCTGCTGGAGCCGGTCCAGGGGAGGCCTCGAAGAAGATGAGAGGGCTGGAGCACCTCTGCTATGGAGACAGGCTGAGAGAGTTGGGATTGTTCAGCCTGGAGAAGAGAAGGTTCCAGGGAGACTTTCTGGGGGGCTCCAGTAAAGCTGGAGAGGGGCTTTTGACAAGGGCATGTCATGATAGGACACAGGGCAATGGCTTTAAACTGAAAGAGGGGAGATTTAGATTAAATCTAAGGAAGAAATTTTTCACTCAGAGGGTGGTGAGGCACTGGCACAGGTTGCCCAGAGAAGCTGTGGCTGCCCCATCCCTGGAAGTGTTCAAGGCCAGGTTGGATGGGGCTTTGAGCAATATGATCTAGTGGTAGGTTTCCCTGCCCATGGCAGGGGTTTGGAATTAGATGATCTTTAAAAGTCCTTTCCAGTGCAAACCATTCTATATATGAAGGATTCCATCCTTACCTGATAAATCAGATCAACACTGCTGATATCTGAGCTATGCAGGTTTGCTGGAGCTGAGAATCTGATACAGAGCTTTTGACTTTTTATATATTAGCTTGGCATAAAGAAATTAGCAATCAAAGGAACTTTTTCAAGAATAGATTTTGCTGAAGAGTTCTTTTACAAATTGAGGATCAAAGCTGTTAGGAGAAAATATATTTAAGAATCAAGTGACCCAAAGTGCTTTATAGTGCATTTTTTTAACCTGAGGCTGGGAAATCACAGTGATTGAAGTGATGCTTTGGAGAGGCTTCAGGTCAAACAGGCAAGGGCTGCTTTATTTAGCGTGTCAAGTTTAGAAATACTATGGAATTAGAAAGAAATCAGTAGTCAAAGTTTTAAAACCACTTCGCAGCCTGTCCGTACCTCTGCCCATTTTCAGGACATGAGCTGCTAGTTCTCATGGTAGCCCACTTACTATTTTTGCGTTAAGGTCCTTGGTTGTGACAACCAAATCCGTCTTCCAGTTGTGGAAATGGGATTTTAGCTTTCCCCCATGAGCTACCCTGAAGAAAAGGAGCTGATGTGTTTTTAATGTCTGTTCTGGGAATGCTGTCTTTAAAGCTGGTCAGATTTTACTTTAAAATAAAAATAAATACTAATGAAAGATCTGAGCATTGAACCTTTTAAACAGACCTCTTTTAGAGTTATCCGAAGTTAAGCAGCTAATTTTGGTTGTACCCCAGACCATTGGCGTTCAAGTTTAATTAGGATTTCTATATGAAACTCGAGTAAAACGCAGTATTTTTTATTTTTAGGGCTGTATATGGAAGAAGAAGTGAGGATAGGCTTTTACGTAGGTCACTGGCTTTTATCAAGCTGTGTCTTAAGGGATGCGTTAAGAAGGAATTATCTGTTATCTCCCAGAGATACTAATTTTCCCACCTTGTTCCACAGATTTGTATAAGAAAGAATCAGGAATTTTTATTTCTGGTTTTCTCTTCCCGATCGCTTCGTATCAAAGCAAGCCATAAACAGGCATGTATCCTGCAGCTTGCTGGAGTAACTCTGATGGAAGCCAGTCTGGTGGAGGTGGCATGTCCCCTCTTAATGAGAGCTGGAGGAAAAAGGGTGGTTTTAGGGGAAGGCACTAGACTGAGACCCAGAAATTTTTACCTGCAAGGTTCTGCTAGCAACTTAATCTTTAACTTTGGGCAAGTTACTTAATCTCTCTGCAGTTAGTTTCCTTGTGGATGTAATAATGTTTTCCCTGCCTGACGGAGGATAAATCTACTCACCCATGTGTGTGAGATGCTTGGATGGTACCACATCCCCAGATAACTGCTCTCTGTGCCGGAGGCAGGAAGGAAAGGCACATTGTAGGCTGCTTCATCCTCAGCACCACTCACGTGGAAGCTGAATCCATCACCAGTCTAGAGAATCCCAAAGTGTGTATGTTCCCATGGTAGGGATGGGAAGGGATAGGTAGGGATGTCTCCAAGCTTGCTCCCACCAGGAAAAAGAGAAAAGTCAGAGGGAGAGTGCAATTTTCCTTTAGCTGTGGACATAATAATGGGTGAACTGTACCTTGGGAGACCTTTCCAGGCACATGGTGGCACTCAAAAATGTTAAAGGACATAGGCATGGGTCTAGCAGAAGTCTCTCAAGCGTGATAGCATCATGAGCTTCTCCAGATAGGTCAGCAGAGGTGGCAGGAAAGTGATGGGCAGCTCTTTAATGAACTCATGAAAGGTGAGGCTACGGTCCCCCCATCTGGTGGGCTAGAACGGGCTCTCCGATGAGTACAGAGCTGTGCAGGAATGATGGGCAGTTCTCGCGGTGCTTCTTCCTCTTATTTTGTGGCCTCACCCAAACCTACCAAGAAGCTCTCAGGTATGGAGAGCTTTTGTATGGAACTGACTGTTCATTTTCTTGGCGTGTCAGCCTTGGTGATTGCATCCAAGTGGTGATGTCTCTGGAGCAGCCGAGCACTTCCAGGATGAAAGGCCTCAGAAATGGGATGGGTCACCAAGGTTCAATCTCAACTTTGTTGAGGGGGAGGGACAGAATGACTTTAGGATTAAGCAGCATCTTTCACATTTGTCTAGTGTAAATGGCTTTTTTTTATATGTATATCTTTTTTTCCCCCCAGTAATGAAATGAAGGCAGCCCTTCATTTCTCTGAGGAGGAGAAAGAACCCTAAATGCCCCTAAACTGAATTATTTGGGTGGAGGCACCTTGCTGTCAAACCCTGGGAGAAGCTGGCCTCACAGCTCGTGATCCCCTATAGCGGGGAAGTCCCCTGATGCCCGTGTCCTTCACCGTGGGCCGAAGCCGGTGTGACCCCAGGGCTGCCGTCCAGACTGCACATCACAGCTGCGATGTACGACAGTGGCCAAATCTGCAGCTTTGAGCTGTGTTTTCTGTTTTGTTTGAAATAAAAACGCAGGATTTTTGCAGCTCAGGACTCTGTTCCTGAAGCAAACAGAGTTGGGAAAAGCAGAAGCTTCCCAGCTTCCCATGGAAGACTCCATGGAAAAGAGCAGTCAAGTCAAGCCGCCCCGGTGTGTGCCAATGCTGTTGGAGTCTGCAAGGAAATGCTGAGAATGGTTTTTATTGCAAAGCATCATTCCAGGTGCCTTCCCGCAGTTGTTTCTGCATCTTCCCTCTGCTCACTGTCAGCGGGTGGAGCGTTTCTGCGCCAAAGGCTTTGGGATCATCCTCAAAAAGGGGGGGGGGGGGGGGGGCGCCCGAAAAAAACGTACGGCGATGCCTGTGGCCGGATGGTGTTTGCTGTGCGCTGTGGACTGACACAGCAGTTTTTCCCAGCCCGGCTATTATTTTACACAATCCCTGTTTTTTATCCCTTTTACAGTGGACGGCGGATTGCAGCGAGCAGCTTGATGGCAGCTGTTCCCCATCCCGAGGGAAGGGCTCGTCGTCTCACGAACACAATCAGGTAGGGGTTGTGTTTAGCAATTCCTCGCCAAACCTTGGCTTTTGTTCTTGTAACTGACTCATCTGGAAGTGCAGACCCTGCCCGTGCTGCCAGTTTTCCCTCCCCATGGAAGGGGAGACGCGTCCCTCTGCTCGGCATCCCAAAGCTCGCTCCCACTGAAACCGTGGGAGATGGGCAACATCCCGAAATGGGGATGAATGCTATGACCAGGAGCTTATTGCTCCGTGATAAAGGGGAAAAGGTATGGAGTGTCTCATTTATTCCTGGAGAGCTTCTTATTGCCACCTGTGCATGGGACCTGTTTGGAGCATCAAAGCTGACTTGGAAGTATGAGATGCAGCTGGGATGAGGGATCTTTGTGTAGCTGTGCTTCTTGCTTGTGTGCTGCAGCACAAGGATGGTGTTGCAGAGAAGAGGATTAAATAGCTGAGAGGGTGAGCTGGGAGAAGAAGCAAAACTGCGCGTGCTGGGAGCCTGTGTTGGGCTCGCAATGACGGAATCCAGGTGTGAGTCGGTTTTGGTGGTTGTGTGTGGTGTGAGCATCAGTGAAGAGTATTTACCAAGCACTGCTGGCATTGCTGGAGGTGGCTGCCCCTCCTCTGTGCGAGCACCAGCGTGGGAGATGGTTGGGTAGGATGGAGGCATGGGTTTGACCACTGTCACCTGGTTGAGGAGCTGCTCTGGAATCATGTGACCATCAGCTCTGTAAGAGCAGTGTTCACCCGAGGAGATATAGCACTGGGCAGGCTACAGGAAAGGGTAGAGTGGCATTTGCAGTTGCTTCCCACCTGAAGAAGAGGCTTCAGGTTGGTGGGTTTCGGTGGGTTTGGTGCTCTTGCCCTGCTTGATGTCCTCCAGGCTTCAGTCCCATGCGTGGGATCCATGAGAAGATGCGTGGGAGCTGCTTGCAGGGTGGTACAAGAGGCTGTGCCAATCCAAGCAGTGCATATTGCAGCTCCTGCATCCTGTTCTGGGCACCGTTTCTTCCCGCATGCTCGGCTGCAGGATGGGTCTCATGCATCTCCTCCCTGCCATGTGCCTGGATGCAAGGATGCTGGGAGCATCTGTACAGACACCTGCACGCAGCAGAGACAAGATCTTCTTGTGTAGGAAGGTGTGTGCTGTGTGGAGACGCTGCTTTAGATGAGCCTCTGAAGGTGCCAGACGGAGTCGGGGATTTAATTTGTTACAGCTTTGATCTGCTCCGAAATATTCAGCAGCAAAACCCTGGCTGGGCTCCCTCCCACCATTGCAGCCGGTGGCTTGAAATTCAACTGGGAGATTGCCTGTTTCCATCAAGCCTCCTTGGGCTGCTGGGGGTGTTGGCAGGACCGGGTGTTTTCCCTGGGAAAGAAGGTCCCTGGCTCTTCACCCGAGGGCTCCGTTGACGTGCCAGTGTCCAGTGGGTACCACAGGAGGATGCAGGAGTCATGCACGAGTGATGCTTTCCTGACTCCCATCAACGCAGCCCTGACATCTTCTGTCTACCTTGTACTGTGCTCTCTTTTGTTTCAACTTCTGTTTTTTTTTCATTAGTTGTTTTTTTTTTTTTTTTTCCTGGGCATGAAACCTATTTGATCTCCTCTAGCATGGAGCTTGTTTTCTGTATACAAATAACATTCACCAATGACTGAGCTGTTTTCCCTGCGCTTGGGCTCTCTCCCAGCCTGCAGCCAAGCTAATAATTATCTCTCTCCGTGTTGGGCTTCCTTTAACAGCAAGTAACAAATTTTCCTTGGCACCAAAGAGGAGCTGCAAGCTATTGTTCTTCAGTCCAGGCAAGCGTTTCTCTTGCTGTTAGTGATATTCGATTGAAACACTGCTGGTGAGAATTAGGTTCAGTTTATTACCATTTCTGGATGTTGATTTTTTTACTAGTAGCTTTAAACATTAAAAAAAAAAAAATTCGGTCATAAGGTGTTTGTCTTGCATGTAAATTATCAGTCACTCTTCAAACCTGCTGAGGAAGAAGCTGGCTAACTATTTTCCAAGGGACGTTAAGGTTTTTTTTGTTGCAATTTTTTATGGATTTTGAGAGGTTTGGTTGGAAAGTCAGATTCTTGTTTTTCCTATTTGATTTCCAGCTGAGGTTTCTGCATTGCTGGTTGTGCAATACACACTGGTCTTAGCTGAAAAATTCTTGGATGTGAGAGTGTTGCTGGCTTCAGCAACAGTGAAAATGTAGGTTATGTACTGGTGACCATGATACGCCTCACACAGTTGTAACCTGACGATGGGAAAGGGCATTTATATGGAAATCCTGGTTAGTCCTGAAAATATATTCAGCATCTGGTTTCTTTTCTGCAAAGGCAGAGTAGTCCAGAGCCACGTTTTCAAAAGTAATTGGCTTCCTAAAGGTGACAGGGGAGCCTAGAGTGAAGCTGACTTTCCCATGCCTGAAAATCCCTGTCTGCATCCCTAAGTACCTGATGCCTTTGAAATCCTTGTCTCCACCAAGCTTAAGGCAAAAGAAGAAAGGGCTTTTTTTTGTGTGTGTATAGGTGTATTATGTGTTTATATAGACATTTATATATAGTATTTGTGTAAATAAGCATCCACAGGATGTCTGTAAGTGTGGGGCTGAGAGATTCCTGAATAATGTGCAATTTAAGGGTAATAAGATGCTTTGATGAAACCTGCAGTCCAGGATATTTCTAAATTGCTATTTTTCCGACGTTGTTGAGTGTCTCTGGGAAAGACCACCCCATACTTGCCTTGATCTTGCACTCATAGGTGAGACATCTGCTTAGCAGCTGTGAGAGACTATATGGGGGTCCGTGCCCATAGGCTGGCACTTGTGCATCCCATACAAAGCAGTGGCTTAAAAATGGAGAAAATTGCCCCTGGAAACCTTTTACTCCGGTCTTTCCAGTTCTCTGGGCAGATGGGTGCGAGAAGACAGTTTTCTTGTGGGAGATCTCATGTCATACATTTTGTGAACTCCTGGTATACTGAGAAAATCCCTGCTTCATAATTATAGTCAGATCATCCATAATTCTCCTTGTTTCCCTCTGTGAATGCTTTCGTTTGCTGCGTGGCATTGCCGTGCTCCACTAAGCCCTGCTGCATTTGAACAATACCCCCCAGAAGGTCTGCTTGCACGTCGTGCCCCTCTGGGGTGAAGACCACTCCACTGATGAATGCGAGATCCTATCTGTGCACCGTTATCACCTCTAAAAATGAGGAAAGTTTAGATAATGGAATAATTTTACATCTGGTTTATGTTTGGATATTTTTTTTTCCCGAAACGACCCAGTGGGAAGATTTTATATAATACTTTATTTGCATTCCCCTTGTGAGGCTGTTGCAAGTAGGAAGCTCTTTGATATATTTCTGAGAGCAATTCATTAAGGAAGAGACTTCTGGTATGGTATGTATTTAGAGAGCCAGTGGAGCTCTTGGTACATGAAAGGCCTGGCAGCAGCTCCATCCCAGGCTCCCCTTACGGAAAGGACATTAACAAAAACCAGAGCGACTCTGCGGATTTGTCCCATTTCTCCAGGCGGTGGGAGAGGGAGGGCTGAAAATTCTCCTTCCTGGCCAAGTCCATCTCTTCCCCCGTGGTGACTGGCTGTCACCCATCGTCACCGAGCAAAAGCCGGCGTTGTTGGCAGTAAATGGGACTGCAGTTTGTTTTACTGCTTATTTACATGTGTGTCCACGTCCCGCTGGGTGCAGCAGGGACTTGTTCCATGGTTGGGGACCTCAGAGCCTTCTCTGGTTGGTGGTCATGTTGCCTATCTACTGAGCAGTGAAGGACCAGGCAGCATGTGTGGATCACATCTGGATTATCCTACACCCTGCCGTTAGCACCCTTCTGCTGTCCTCCCAAAGGAGCTGGTGGTGGACAAGATGGCTTGGTTTGCTTTTGCATTGAGCCAGTAAAAACAGCAAGATGCCTGTGGCAGGCAGAGGTGGTGGGTTTCCACTCTTGGGTGTTGGTTGGAGAGGACTAGCTGTCCAAGAGCACCCCAAGGGCTGTGCTGATAAGTTACCACAGTAAGATGTTGAGTGTCCTGTGCTGTTTGGTAGCGTGGAGATGTAGAGGGCTTTGCAGGGATTGTGTGCCGTTGTCACTGAGCCTGGCACGTCCTGCCGAAGGATGTCTGAACCCAAGCCCAAGCCTTGCTGATAAGGAAAGCATGAGAAGTTCTCACAAAATCAAAGCTAATACCATGTGAAACTTTATCTTCCATGTCTCCGTGACTCAAAGAAAGACAGTGCTGTGCTAGTGCCAGAATGCTCCCAGGCAGGAGATGCTTCACGTTCTCTGAGCTCAGGCTGTAGGCAGAGGACATCTGACCTGCCTGCATATGAAGAGATACAGCCAGGGTAGGTGTCTTCGACTGCTTTGCGTAGGGTGGGAGCAGAACACATCCCCTCAAACCCTTCAAGTCCCTCTTTCGTGTGTCTCACCTGAACCTCAGAACCCCCCTCTGATGATGAGCACTTGGCTTCCAACCACAGGAAGTCATGGCTAGAAAAGCTGCTACGTTGCCAAAGCAAAGGCAGTAGTAGTGAGGGGGTGATGTGTGAAGGTTGTCTCTTGGGGAATAGTGAAACGTGATTTTATAGAAAGTGCAAAACCCAAAGTATCAGTGCAAATTTCTCTTGCAATTCCAGAGATTTTTCTTGCAGGCATCAGTGCTCCTTGACTGCCTGGGAACAAACGTGAGGAAATCCTTCCCAATGGATGCTGCAGAGGCAGGTGACAAAGGATCTGGACAAGGTCTCAGGCAGTGGCCACGACACTACGTCCAGAGTTGGACTGAGGCCCATGTGACCAGCACCACCATCATACAAACTTCTCAAGTCAGCAGTGGAGTCTGCTTGCTGGCTTAAATCCACTGACATCAGCAGGCAGCGTGTAATGCCCCAAATCCTTGGCTAGCCAGATCAGAGCTGGAGAGTGAGTGGGTGCTGCTTGCGAAGAGGCTGGCAGGATCTCCCGACCAAAGGTGTAATTCATTTCCC